GCAGAACTACTCTCATCGGAGCCTCCTGTGCCAGGAGGAGGGGACTTGGTTCCTGGCTGGAATCAGCGACTTTTCCAGTGGCTGCCTGCGTCCCAGAGTCTTCCACCCCCTGCAGACCCATGGCCCGTGGATCAGCCACGTGACTCGCGGAGCCTACCTAGAAGACCAGCTGACCTGGGACTGGGGCTCTGAGGGGGAGGAGACTGACACACAGACTTGTCCCCCGCGCACAGAACATGGTGGTGAGGGCTCAGGGCTTAATGTCTCCTGAGACTTTGGGGCTTAGGGGCTCCTACATGAGCTAAGACCCGTGGTTAGGTCTTCATGGGTCAGCTGCGAAGCCCCCGTTTAAGTGGTCACCTCCTCTCCTTAGCCTGTGGCCTGCGACCAGAGCCCGCTGTGGTGGGGGTCCTGTGGCCCTGGTTGGCAGAAGTGCACGTGGCTGGAGATCGAGTCTGCACTGGGATCCTGGTGGCCCCAGGCTGGGTTCTGGCAGCCACTCACTGTGTCCTCAGGTGGGTCTCACCCATCTCTTGGACAAGAGGAAAAATGGAGAGATGGGCCTAAGGGCTCTTAACAATAGTGGGACTCTCCATTTGGAGCTCTTACGGTGCAGGGGAGTGCCTCAAGTGTTTTGAGGTAGAAGAGAGATCTGGCAGGAGGAATACTCAATGGAACGACCCATTCTGCACTGGAAAGGACTTTACGGCCACTGGGAGAGCAGGGGATGACATTGAGCTTTGTTCCAACAGGCCAGGCTCCACGACAGTGCCTTATATTGAAGTGTACCTGGGCCGGGCGGGGGCCAGCCCCCTCCCACAGGGCCACCAGGTATCCCGGGTGGTCACCAGCATCCGCCTGCCCCGGCACCTGGGACTTCGGCCCCCTTTGGCCCTCCTGGAGCTGAGCTCCCGGGTGGAACCCTCCCCATCAGCCCTGCCCATCTGCCTTCACCCAGGGGGTATCCCCCTGGGGGCCAGCTGTTGGGTGCTGGGCTGGAAGGACCCCCGGGACCGAGGTGAGAGCCCAGGGTCCTGGGGGTGAGGAGTGACTGAAGGCCAGAAGCCCTGCGACAACCCTCTCTCCTCTCTCTAGTCCCCGTGGCTGCAGCTGTCTCTATCTTGATGCCGCGACTCTGTCACTGTCTCTATCAGGGCATCCTGCCCCCTGGGACTCTCTGTGTTCTGTATTCGGAGGGTCAGGAGGACAGATGTGAGGTAAAGGGGCCTGGGCATCCCCATCCGGGGAGAGGGGAGTCAGGCAGCACTGGGCAGCCCAGCAGGACCCTAGAGAGTGAGCTGGGTTAGAATTCCTTTTTTTTTTTTTTTAAGATTTTATTTATTTATTCATGAGAGACACAGAGAGGCAGAGACATGGGCAGAGGGAGAAGCAGGCCTCCTGCGGGGAGCCTGATGTGGGGATCATGGGATCATGCTGCGATTGTGACCTGAGCCAAAGGCAGACGTTCAACCACTGAGCCACCCAGGCGCCCTTGGGTTGGAATTCTTGAGCGCTGGGCCCCAAATGGGAAGAAGCAGTGCTTCCCATCTGGACTTTAGAGAGAGACCAGGGGCCCGGATGCCTGAGGATAGGGACAAGCAACGCTCTGTGGCTGGACTCTAAGAAGAAATAGAGGAGCAGGAGGAAGGGTAAGAGACCCTTTGGGGCTTGGCTCTGATACTGCAGGTGACCTCAGCACCTCCGCTCCTGTGCCAGACGGAGGGAGGCTCCTGGGTGCTCATGGGCATGGCTGTTCGAGGGAGCCGGGAGCTGTTCGCTGCCATTGGCCCGGAAGAGGCCTGGATCTCCCAGGTGGTGGAGGAAGCCCATTTCCTGCCTCCCAATGGCTACCCCCACTGGCCCCCTGAAGGCAGCAACCTCTGCCCCCCTGAAATGGCCAGGGCCTCAGGTTCCCCTCGGGTTGCCCTCTTCCTGCTGCTCCTGACCCCCCTGATCCAGGGCTGAGGGGGCCTGGGTCCGTGAGCCACCCCTCCTCCTCCTCCCCCCACTCCCTCCAGCCTTCCACTTCCCACCCAGTACGGCTGGAATGTGGCCCAACCGGCTTTGTTCCCTCGCCCGCCACTGCCACCGAACCTCCAGGCCGCCCCACCCACCTGGACTGCAGCGGCTCTGGCTCTGGGTAATTGGGCCTCCCCAGCTATTTTGGGCTCTGGAATCCTTGGGGGCACCGGGAAGCGGACAATAAAGGTGTAAACACAGACACATGGCCTTATGTCATTGCTGGGGGCAGGCCAAGGGGCTGGGGGAAGCCCACAGGGTAGGGCCCATCCCTGCTGGGGCTCTGTGAGTCAGGCTTTGGGCTCCCAGGAAATGTGTCCCTGATAACGTGGCAGCTGTCCTTCATTCCTGCCCCAGGGCGGGGGAGGTGGGGTGGCAGCTGGGTGTGTGTCACCTCCCCGGTGGAATCAGCATCCCTAGCACCTGCCAGACACCTCAGCCCAGGCTCAGACCCTACTGTCCTCCCCCCAACCCAGAGCAAGGGCTAGGGTGAGGGTTGAAGAAGGGTCCTGGAGTCTGGGAGTCCAGGGGCTACCATATCCTGTATCCACAGACAGATGCCCCCTGTTGAGTGACCCAGAGTGTACACCTCCAGTGTCCCCAATATATACATGACACACGCTTAACAGTTCCCCACCTTCACATCCTGCCCAGTGTCCCCAGAGTTTGGGCATCATCATGTGTCCTTGTGTGTGTACATCCCACTACCCCACTCACCATTTTTTTTTTTTAAGATTTTATTTATTTGAGGGATGCCCGGGTAGCTCGGGGGTTGAGTGTCTGCCTTCCAGCTCAGGGCATGATCCTGGAGTCCCAGGATTGAGTCCCGCATCAGGCTCCCTGCGTGGAGTCTGCTTCTCCCTCTGCCTGTGTCTCTGCCTCTCTCTATGTGTCTCTTGTGAATAAATAAATTAAAATCTTAAAAAATATATATTTTATTTATTTGAGAGAGAGAGAGAGCACAGGCGGGGATGGGGGGGGTAGGAGTGGCAGAGGAAGCGGGAGAAGCAGGCTCCCTACTGAGCAGGGAGCCCTGAACTCCCAGGATCCAAGCCCAAGCCAAAGGCAGATGCTTAACCAACTGAGCCAGCCCCCCTTGCTCCTCATGTATTGGTGCCCTCCCAGCATGAATACAACCGCATTCCCTGCTTACTCCGAAGTCAGGGGGTCTGGGGTCTGATGGATCAGCCCATGAAGTAGTGCTCTGTGTCCAGGGAACACATATGTGTCCCTGGCTGGGGATTTTTTTTTTTTTAAAGGTTTTTTATTTATTTATTTACGATAGTCACAGAGAGAGAGAGAGAGAGAGGCAGAGACACAGGCAGAGGGAGAAGCAGGCTCCATGCACCGGGAGCCCGACGTGGGACTCGATCCCGGGTCTCCAGGATCGCGCCCTGGGCCAAAGGCAGGCGCCAAACCGCTGCGCCACCCAGGGATCCCTGGCTGGGGATTAAGAAAGGGTCACAGAAGAGATTATGTTTGAGTACAGGAAAAGAGCAAATGGAGACCCAGGAAGGGGGCAGTGCTTGGGGTCCAAGCCACAGATGAAGGTGGCAGAGGGGTCACCTTTGGGGCCAGAGTCACCATCTCTAGGTGGGGTGCGCAGAGGATACGGGAGAGGAGGGAAGAAGTTCTTGGGAGATAGAGGAGATGGCAGAGGTTCTTTAAGGGCCAAGGTTGTCATTGGCTGCCAGAGCCCCAAGAGGATAGCCCACCTGTGTCCAGTACCTGGATGCCATCCCCCACAAACATTTAAACACCCACCCTCGGGTAGCCTGGGTGGCTCGGCGGTTTAGCGCCGCCTTCAGTCCAGGGCATGATCCTGGAGACCCGGGATCGAGTCCCACGTCGGGCTTCCTGCATGGAGCCTGCTTCTCCCTCTGCCTGTGTCTCTGCCTCTCTCTGTCTCTCTCTCTGTGTGTGTGTGTGTGTGTGTGTGTGTCTTGTGAATAAATAAAATCTTTTAAAAAGTTAAATAAATAAACACCCACCCTCGACCCAAACCCACCACAGTGTCCAATGTCATCCCCTCCTCCCCAGCTTAGACCCATTCCCACTCCACTCCAGGAGTTCCCTACCCTCTGGGGCCCTAAAATTTTGGCTATGAGGTCCCAGTCTTAGGGAAAGTAGGTGGGGGAGTGGGGCTCTCTTCTGAGGCTTGAAGCCAACATACATGCCCAGGTGCAAACCTGAGGACAAACCTGTCCCCTAGCTGGGCCACTGGGCCTTCCTTCTTCCCCTGAGCCTGTGCCTCCTTCCCGCTGCAACCTCCACCCGGGAACGCTTTCCCGGACCATCCTTCGACTACCTTTGCCACTTCCCATCGCCTCTTGGGCCTCTGTCCTTATAGCACCTTCTCTGGGAGCCCTTCTCAATGCCGGCCGATGTCAATCTCCCGTGATCAGGCCTCCAGAGCCCCCATGCCTAGCCTGAAATTATTCTAGAATTCCTGTGTGATGATTTGATTCGCAGCTGTCACCCCTATTTCACTGTGAGCTCAGTGAAGGCAGAGATGGTGTCTGCTTTGTCTCCTGTGCCTGGAACATAGTAGGCACTGAGGAAATATTTGTGAGATGATCAGCATGGCCAGTCACACTGCACACAGATGATGCTGCAGTCTCTACAGGAGGGCCTGAAAAGACAGGGGTCCTGGGCTCAGAGACCAGGCTGAGGGAGAGCAGGAAGGAGGAGCACAGCGGCCCCAGGACAAGAAAGGCTGGGCCAGGCCCTGGGGGACATAACTGGTCTGGGAGACCTGAAAGACCTGGGCCAGATGCCACTTGGGTCACATTCTAGGGAGCCTAGCTATCAAGGATTTCCAGTTCCGCCTGGAGGGCACACACACACACACACACACACACACACACACACACACACACAGCCTGGGGATCTGGGAGGACTTAGGACCATGTAATCCAGAAAACCTGGTGGAGCTAAGTGTGGAGGGCGGGGCCAGGGGAGGGGCAGGCAGGTAGGTGCCTTTCTCCAAGGATCCACATTCTGGAAGGTCTCCGCGTAGTTAGGCCGAGTTGTAGACGTGTCCTTACGGCTGCGGAGACCCCAGCGTCTCCCTTTGCGCCTTACCTCTGCCTTCAAATCTTGTCTTGGACATCTCTTCTCCCTTCCCAGCGCGGATTCCAGGATCTCTTCCCTCTGGGCCCAATACCAGGAACTTGCCGTTGAAACCAGCCCTAGGTACCTTCCCTTGGCTGCCTGGTGTCTCCCCGGGGGCCCTGGTCCTGGGCCATGGCCCACAGGGCAGGTCTGGGGCCTGGGTGGCTGGAGGCTGTGGCCATTCTGCTTTTGCTTGGATTATTCCGGTCCGGACTTGGTGAGTATGTGCGGTGGTCAGACAGTGTGGGGCTCAAGGGAGGGGTGATACACATAGGCTGGGGGTATAACCCTTTTTTGGGCACACCCCTTACCCTGGACTCAAGAACCCCCAGCTTCAGCTCCTTAGCTCTGGGCCTCTCCCTCTCCCTTCGGCATTGGCCTCCCAGGGCGGGGTGGGACAGCCTCTGGAGAAGTGGCAGGTGCTAAGGGATCTGGGAACTTTTTCTCAGGGTCTTTCCTGTTTACCCTTCCCTCTTTCTCTCCCTCCTGGAGCTGAGGGGATGAAGGTGAGGCTTGTGTGGGGGAGGGGGAAGGAAGGGGACGTGGGTTCAGATTCCAATGGAATGTTTCATGAGTGCCTGAGCCTCTCTCCATAGGGCCCTCTTCCTTACCCTTACTGCTTTATGTAAATCCTCCCAGTAGTTCTGTGAGATGGAAGTTACAGCCCTCATTCTATGGAGAAAGAAACTCCGATGCAGAGAAGTGACTTACCCAAGAGTACACAGCCAGTAAGAGGCATAGCTGGGATTTTAAACCCTGGTCTGACTCCAAAGGTACATCTTTTGAGGAAAACAAACCAGGGGTTTCCTTCCTTGCAAGGCACACCACTCGACTCTGAGTCCTGTTTTCAGTCCCCACTTCACCGCAAACCACTGGCTGTGTATTCTTGGCCAGTCCCCTCCCCTCAAAAATGAAGTCAGTTATGTTTGTCTCCTGGGGCCCAGGGAGGACTCCTGGAGATAAAGGAAGTGAAAGCCCTCCCGCAGCCTGGCACTGCCGGACCGTCACTAAATAGTAGCTATTGTCATTATTATGAGGAGCGAAGGAGGAGCTTGGCTGGGCAGTTTTCTCTGCTGGGGGGGGGGGGTTGACTTTGTGAAGGGCTGTTGGGTCCTGCTCCAAACAGAGGGGAGGCCTCTGTGGGGGTGAGGCCGTCCTGGAAATCAGATGTTCAGTGTGGGAGTCCTGTTGTTTGTTCGACACATATCCACGACTCCATCGTGTGCCCAGCCCTGTGCTCCAGTCCCTGTCACCAGGGACTTACCCAGATTAGTGCAGATGAAGCAGTCACAGACACCAGCACAATAGCGGTATGATAGGGCAGTTGGGGGTGGGGGGAGCATGGGGGCTCTGGGCGGTCCTGCCATTGTCCAACTCAGCCAGCAGGGTCAGGGCAGGTTAAGGAGAGGCTGGCATTTGAATCACCTCCATAGGCAAATAGGTTTGCTGAGCGGAGTAGGATGAGGAAAGAGGGATGGAGGATGCTCGGCAGAGTAGCCTGGCTGAGCAGAGGTCTAGAGGCAAACAAGTGTGTGGCCCTATGTGTGTGACAGGAAGTGTCCAGGGATGGCTGGAGCAGATGGTCCTGTCATGGAAGGTCTGGAATGTATGTTAAGGACCATGTGAGCCCAGAAAGGATTTAAGCTGAGGTTTGACCTGATCAGATTTGTGGTTTATAAAGATCTTCTGATGTGTAAGGAGTGGACTGAGTGGAAGGCACTCAGTGGCCTGAGTGGAGGGCCTGAAAGAAAGGAAGCTGAAGAAACCCAAGTTAGGTAATGAGCTCGGTAGGGGGGGGCAGAACTAACCATGCCCGCTGAGCAGTGGGATGAGGACAAACGGATGGCTGGCTCCTGGGAACTCACTTCCCAGACTCCAAACCAGATTGTTAGGAAGTGGCAGGCCTGAGGCCCCAGGAGGTACAGGGGCCCCAAGAGGACCTGACCTCCTGACCTTCCTCCCTGGACAGCCTTCTGCGGTGTGGCCTCCCAAGCACGAATCACAGGCGGCAGCAGTGCAGCCGCTGGCCAGTGGCCCTGGCAGGTCAGCATCACCTATGATGGCGTCCACGTGTGCGGCGGTTCTCTCGTTTCTGAGCAGTGGGTGCTCTCAGCTGCTCACTGCTTCCCAAGGTACCAGCTGGGTGGTGGGCGAGGGGCGTGGGGCGGGGAGTCGAAAGTGGGCCGAGGTCCAAGTTAGGGATCAGTCTAGCCCAGAGGTTGGGGTCCTTGGGTGGGATCTAGGGATATCAATGATTCAGTCTGAAAGGATCAGTGAGGAGTGAAGGCCAGAGGTCACAGGTCACAGGATAAAACTGTGGTCTGTGACCTGAAAGGCCATTTGCCTGGGACCAGACAGACTGGGGTTGGGTGGAACAGGGCAATGCAGGATTAGGGAAGTGGGAGAGGTCTCCTGGGTCCCAGCCTTGGCCCCTCCACCTGCAGGGAGCACCTGAAGGAAGACTATGAGGTAAAGCTGGGTGCCCACCAGCTGGACTCCTATACCCCTGAGGCTGAGGTCCGCACCGTGGCACAGGTCATTTCCCACACCAGCTACCAGCAGGAGGGCTCCCAGGGTGACATCGCACTCCTCCAACTCAGTAGCCCGGTCACCTTCTCCCGCTACATCAGGCCCATCTGCCTCCCTGCAGCCAACGCTTCATTCCCCAATGGTCTCCAATGTACCGTCACCGGATGGGGCCACGTGGCGCCCTCAGGTGAGGTGGGCACTGATGTCCAGAGTCATGGGGGTGGTGCCTAACTCAGGGCAGAAGGCCCCAGGCAAGCATCTTTTGCTCCTCCAGTGAGCCTCCTGGCCCCCCGGCAACTACAGCAACTCGAGGTGCCGCTGATCAGCCGTGAGACCTGTAACTGCCTGTACAACATCAACGCTAAGCCTGAGGAGCCCCACTTTATCCAGCAGGACATGGTGTGTGCTGGCTATGTGAGAGGGGGCAAGGATGCCTGCCAGGTAAATGCAGGGGGGTCCAGTGAGACAAGTGCATCTCGGGGGGAGATGAGGGCCTAATGGGGCTGGTGTGGCTGACTGGAGGCCTGGGGCCGCATCCTGATAGTTACTGTACGGCTCTTCTCTTCAGGGTGACTCTGGGGGCCCGCTCTCTTGCCCTGTGGCAGGCCTGTGGTACCTGGCAGGCATTGTGAGCTGGGGCGATGCCTGTGGGGCCCCCAACAGGCCTGGCGTGTACACTCTGACCTCCAGCTATGCCTCCTGGATTCACCATCAAGTGACAGAGCTCCAGCCTCGTGTGGTGCCCCAAATCCAGGAGTCCCAGCCCGATGGCAATCTCTGTGTCTACCATCAGGCCTTCAGCTCTGCCCCAGCCCAGAGCTTACTGGGGCTCATCCTTCTGCTGCCACTAGGCCTGACCCTCAGCCTCCTCTGCTAAGCTAGTCATCTAAGGAGCTGACCCTGCTTCCAGGACTTCCACACTGCACCCAAGGACAGATGCCTGCCTTGGGAATGGACCTGGCCCTTCCCTGACATCTTTTGGGCCTAGGGACCGGCTTGATTCACTCCTTCCTCCCAGGACCTGTGGGAGTACATCCTGACCTTTGAGCCCCCTCTTCTGGGTTGGTTCTTTGGGACTACAATCCACAGTCGGGAGGCTCACTACCTGTGGCATTGGCTAGAACCTCTGGCCACCTCCACCTGCTGTCCACAAGCCTGCCGGTTGGGCTTCTATGGAGCCCCTGAGGACCCTTAACTATGAAAATGAGCCCTGGCTCCCTGGTTTGTTTCCAGAAGACTAGGCTAATTGCTGCTGAAAGGCTGGCCCCAGCGCCCCACCAGTCCTGCCTGATAAGCCCCATCACTTCACCCTCTTCCTATCTTCTGAGCTGGGGCTGCCTCTGGGCAGCAAGTTTGCAAGCACAGAAAAGGCCCCAATCTTGCCCTATCGGCTGCCATGCCCTTCTTGAACCTCGATTCCTAGACTCCGGAGGACTGAGCCCCCACCGGAACTGGGCTTGGGCTTGGATCTGGGGTGAGGACTAGAAGGAACAAGCAGGAGTAAAATGTTTTTGAGCACAACTGCTGTGTGTGTGACCCGCCACGAAGAATGTCAGCTCTTGGCCTCTCCCTCTCACCTCCAAAGTCCAGAACCACTGGCAGAACTCACTTTATTAAAAAAATGACGAAATAGGTCTGTACATATTTACAGGCAAGGGGGCAAGGAGGCACAGGTCCGGCAGCGGGGGCACACAGGCTGCTCACTTCTTGGAGAGTTTGACTTGCTTGTGCTTGGGGGGTGCCCACTTGAGACAGACAGAGTCCACTGCGGGGGGGGGGGGGGAGGCGTGAGAGGTGGGGCTGGGCCTCTGGGCCCAGGCCAGGTTTCACCTCTAGGTGAGAACAAGGACATACTGAGTCCTGGGGAGGGGGCAGGGAAGCCTGGGAATGAGTAGCCTGCCTCAGGCTTCCATCTGTCCTTCCTGGGGAGCTGGTCAGACAGGTTTGGGATCATGTAACAGCAAAAAGGTAGCCTTGGCTCCCAATAGATCTCAACACCCCCCACCACCACCACCACACACACCCTGGGCAGCCCCCCACTTACCTGTGATGGGTGGTTTTTTATACTGGGCACTTTTGAGGTGTTCTTCTACCAGCTTGGGTGTGACACAGATCACATGCTGGCCCTTCCAGTACTTGACCATGTTGAGGGACTGCAGGGTGCTGATGATGTCATTCTGGGTGATGCTGGTCATCTGGCTGCAGAGAGGGACAAGAGAAGATGCTGAGGAGAGTTCTCTTGAGGGCTCTAACTGGGACAGCAAAAAGGGACAAGGACCCAGGATCATGGCCAGTCTTAGAAGAGTCTTTCCCTCTCAAAGGGTCCCAAGACCCTCACCTCAGGTCCTTGATGGACAGTGTGCCCCGGAAATCTCGCAGAATCTCCAGCAGGACCCAAGACCAGTAGCTGCGGTAGCTGAGCTTGCCCAGGTCAGACAGCGGCTTCTCCGGGGAGCCGACTGTGCTCTCGAGCTTGGAGAGCTCATAGCCTGGCAGTGATAGAAAGGAGGATTCTGCAGGCCCAGCCCCCCTTGGCACCCACCCTGCAGTACCCCTCCCTCTACAGGCCGGGAACCACTCACTGAAGGCAATGAGAAATTTTCCATAGCCGCGCCGCTGGTATGGAGGCAGGGTCAGGATGCAGGCCACATTGTTCCCATCTGGAGACTCCTTCTCCTACAGGGGTGTGTGGTCAGGACCTCTGGGGAGGCTCAGCCCCTCCTGTAGTCCGTAGTCCCCACCCACCCTCAGCCTGGCCTTCCCAACCCAGCACCTTGGAGAAGTAGCCAACGATGTGGGCTCCCTGCCTGTCCACCTCAGTCAGGATGTAAAAGACGAAGGGCTCCACATCGAAGTACAACGTCTTGTGGTCCAGGAAGAGCTTGGCCAGTAGACACAGGTTCTGACAGTAAATCTGAGCAGTGGGGAAGGTGGAAGCAGCCTCAGGGAGCGGGTATAACTACCCCCACCTAGCTTCACTGAGGCCTGGCAATGGCTGCCATCCTGCTCTGCAAATGCCAGGCTCCAGAGGGCAGCTGGTGCTGGGCCGGTGAAAAGTGGGCGCCTTCCCAGAACAGGAGTATTCAGAATTGAAAGGACTCTTATAGTCATTATCTGATGGACAAGGAAGCTAAAAACCAGAGAGCTGGATTAAACAGTGACCACGGCTTTTTTTTCTAGTGCAAAAAGGTGGGTTTTTTTTGTTGTTGTTGTTTGTTTCTTTGTTTTTAAGAGAGAGTGTGTGAGTGATGGGGGGTTGTGGCAGAGCAAGAGGGAGGGAGAAGCCCAAGCTGACTCTACACCGAGGGCAGAGCCCGATGTAGGGCTTGATTTCATTACCCCGAGATCATGACCTGAGCCAAATCAAGAGTCAGGCACTCAACTGAGCTAACAGGTGCCCCAAAGGTTTTTGGTTTTGTTTTTTTAATTATAGCATGGGGACAGGACCCATGGACAGAAAAAGCTCTCTCACTCTCTTTTTTTAAAGATTTTATTTTGAAGTAATCTCTACACCCCACAAAGGGCTGCAACTCACAACTCTGAAATGAAGAGTCACCGCTGAGCCATGCTCCACCGACTGAGCCAGCCAAGTGTCACAATCACTTCTGAGTGCTAAATAGGAGTTCAATCTTCAGGGACATTAACTCTTATGTTTCAGATCAGGAAATAGGCTCAGAGGAGATAAGTGGCTGGTCTAAAGTCCCATGGCTGGGGACTACTAGGACCAGATTCAAACTGGTATAGGAGTTATGTTTTGTTCACAGCTGCATCTCCAACACCTAGTACAAGGCTACGCATGAAGCTTGGTGCTTGGTAAATGTTTGCTGAATGGATGAGCTTTAAAAAACCTGATCACAAAGGATGAGCTGTTTCCCCACTTGGCTGTACTCCTCTGCTGCACTTCAGCAGCCTTCCTATAGGCCCAGACACTCACCCAGGCTAGAGACCAACAGCAGGAGGGACAAGAAGACCCTGAGGCCCTCTGGCTTATGACATCTTTCGCATCCACTCTTATGTGACCCAACGATGATCAAGTCCAGCATTGCTAGCCCATTTTACTCGGAGGGAACTGAGGGTTCTGGAAAGGGGAAGTACTTGGCTGAGGCTTCAACGTGCAGAGGGACAACGTTGCAGAGCTAGAAAGAACACCCACACCTCCTGCTGGAACCCTTTCTGCCACTCCCCCAGTTCATGCTCAGAAAGGCAAAGCAGGGGACCCACTCCAGGCTAAGAGCAAATATTCTCCTTGAGCTATTTAACTCAAGGCTGACTGAACTGGACCGAAGGAGGTCACCAATAATAACAAAGGCCCATGTTTACTAAGCACCTACTTGATGTCAGACACAGTGTTAAGTACTTGACATAGCTGTCTCATTTGTGCCACCAACAGTCCTATTAGGTAAACATTATCATGACTCCTATCTTACAGATGAGGAAACAGGAACAAACAGTGTTAAGTAACCTGTCCGAGGTCAGCTAGTAAATGACAGCACAATTTGAAGCAGGAGCCACTCAGAATCCTGCCCTCTCTGCCTTACCCTCTACTGCCTTTCCATGGGAAACAAGGAGATCTGGTGAGGCCTTCCCAGACTGACCAGGCAAGGCCAGGTGCTCCGTGGCAGCAATGCAGGCCCCAGATGCCCCACCCTGCCCCATGGAAGTCCTGCCACACAGCTCTCAGGCAGAGTCTCACACAAAGCAGTCCCCTCCCAGGAAAGAAACCTTTCCTTCAGGCAGAAAGAGAAAGCACTTCTAGAAGCAGCCTCAGGCGTGACAATTTCTACCCTGGGTGCCAGAACCGTCCAAAACTAGTAAGTTAGCCCATCAGGAGAAAAGTCTTCAGGGACAGAACAGAAACCTAGTCCCCAAGGCTGGTACCACAGGCCCATATGTTTACCATGCACCAACCACAGGCCAAGTGCCAGGCTAAACATGATCCCACAGGCTTTTCCCTGGGGCGGGGGTGGGGGGTGTCCTAAGACTGGCCTCTACCCTTTAGTGACAAGGAGGATCGTTCAGGAGGTGCTAGAGCTTCTCCCCATCTCCCCACAGCACTTCGGCCACCTAACTCACCTTGTGGTCTTTGCCGTCTACCTCATACACAGAAATGTTACTCTTGCGATAGATCTCCTTCCCTGGAGGCTGCCGCCACTGACACTGGCCCTGGGGGTGGGGATGGGGAAATAAAGGCTGGAGACGTTGAGGTTTTCTGCTAGGTGTCCCCATCCCACCCTGCGTGGCTTGCAACAGGTCTCCACTGCTCTTTCCCAATCTACAGACCCTGGGCTCCATGCCTTACCTACATCAAGCAACCCTCCCAGCTACCTGAGGATACAGAGCCTATTTTACAGATGAAGAAACTGAGGCACAGAGAGGCTAAGTAACTGGCTTGAGTAGCACACGGCTGGATGGTATCAAGTTCAGGTCAGCCTGGCTCTGGAGGGCTCTGATCCATGACAATGGCAATGCCTACACCGCAAAGGCTGGCCTCAGGTCACCCCTTGGGGACACAGCCTACCACACTAGTGCTGCGAGCCCCCGGCATCCCAGCCCCGTCCCACCCCTGCCAATGCCTCCCATCTGTCCACACCTTCCAGTCCCCACTGCTCAGGGGCTGTGCTTGTTTCCTCTTTTGCACTGAGGAATCTGGCACTGGGCTGGCCTTGATAAACATGTAGTGTTGGGCTTGACCTGAGGAGGCGGGAAGGGTAGGAATTATTGTCCCCATTCCACAGAGGAGGAAACTGAGGCCTGCGCAAAGGCAGCAGGCTAGCCAAGGTCAACCTGGCAAAGGCCAGGCCAGGCCTTGCACCCGGGTCTCTAGCATTTCCTCAGACCCGGCTCCTCTGGACCTGTCTTTCCCCACTATCATTGCAGCCTCAGCCCCTCAGCCTCCACACCCGCCTCTCTCGCCAGGCTGGGCCAGCACCGGCTCACCAAGTGGAAGCGGTAGCTCTTCTCAAATTTCATATACTTCAGGCAGTACTCGCAGAGCCACAGCTTGGGCTGTTTCCCATAGTCCTCGGGGAATGGGGAGAAGTACCAGGCGTCGATTTCGTAGTTCCCGATGTGGATCTTGTCCACATACTTCACCTTGGTGATCTGCGGACAGGGCAGGAGCAGAGGACGGCAGCTGGCTCAGCCCAGGGCCCAGGAGAGCCGGCGAGGGGCTGCCCACAGTCAGAGCCCTGCCCCAGCTTACCGCCTCATGCTCCTTCTCCAAGGCTGCAGTGGTGGGGTCCATCTCGGCATAGGTCTGGGCAAGGACAGAGCCATGAACAGAGGTGAAGAGAAGTGGCAGTTGAGCTATCTCCCCAACCCCCGTACCCCCCGTGCCCGAACCCAGTGCTTCCCTCCTGTCTTCCAGGCCTCAGCACCCAATTGGCAGTGGAACCACAGGAACAGCTAACTTGTTTTACCTGGTTTTGAAGCTGGCCAGGCCAGGCTCCTCTCCTACCTTCCCATCCACTCTCACACCCCTGCATCCCTGATGCCCATGTGTGAACCTTTTGCTAGATGAACAGGGCGGGATCAGAAGGCCTGGTTCCAGTCCTTGGGCTGGTAAAAGCTTCGGCTATACAAAAGGATCAATCCAGCTCTGCCAAAATTGCCATGAGACACATGAATAATAGACTGGATCTTTTGTCCCCAAAGCAGGAACTGGTGCTGGACTCCCCAGCGTGATTGGATCTCTTTCCCGAGCACCAGATCCAGGGATCCGCCTGCTCCTGGGCCTGCTCCCCGACGTTCCCTCCACAGGTATCCCAGGCTCTAGGTGTCCAGAAAGGAACTCAATCTGTACCCCCACAAACCTATTCATCCCCCTGGGGTCGCCGTCTCACTGGGTGTGTCACCCCCAGTCCAACTTCCCAAGACCGATTGCAGGTCTGCTCTTAAGACTCCTCCTCTTCCCAACCCGGCACTCAAGTAAGGGCCAGGGTCTGTTGATTCTACCTTCTTGATGTCTCTGCTATCAGTCCCTCTCTGGAACTCTCTTCTGTCCAACTCCAAATAGTCACCACCACCATCTCAAGTCCAGATAATGGGGATCCCTGGGTGGCGCAGTGGTTTAGCACCTGCCTTTGGCCCAGGGGGCGATCCTGGAGACCCGGGATCGAATCCCACATCAGGCTCCCGGTGCATGGAGCCTGCTTCTCCCTCTGCCTGTGTCTCTGCCTCTTTCTCTCTCTCTCTCTCTCTGTGATTATCATAAATAAATTAAAAAAAAAAAAAAAAGTCCGGATAATGAACTAAGCCTCTGCAGAGTCCCAGCCTCTGGTCGCAGTCCCTTCATGTCTACACTTTCCACACCCCTCTTTTTGTGGCTTTTCCACGTTGAACATGCAGTTCCCTCTCCGGCTGCCAATAAAAACTGCATCCTCAACCTCGAACAGAGTGTGAGCCAGGGGAGGGTGGGATGAGGCAGTTTTGTGAGCCACGGTGTCTAACTGTGCTCTTTCCTGTCCTTCAAGGCCTCATGCCCTGCCCCCGCCCCCCCTTCCCTCCTTCGGGAGGCCTGACTGAACTCTTCTGACACAGAATACACCCTCTCCTTCCCAAGCAGCGGTGGCTAACCATGATCCCCTCTGCCTCCTCGCATTTGCTTCCCCTGATTTTCTAAGTCCTTAGAAAGCGGGTAAAGTCATGTCACTCACAGCACAACCTGTTCCTAAGCCAGACTCTGTAGGAGCAACCACAGCCTGATAATAGAGAGGGGACCCAAGGTCTCTGAACTATACCAGAGCAGACAGCAGCCTTGCCCTGCGGTTAAGAAGGGAGAAAGGACCCAGCATTTTACCCAGACCCCCTTCCACCAAGCACTTTGCCTGTATGGTCACACATAACCTTTCAGCCACCCTGAGATGTAGCCTTCTTATTTCTAGTTTACAGAGGAGAAGTAAACAGGCACAGAGGTCACTTGCCCTTGGGGACTAGCTAGCTGCCATTTATTCCAAGTGCCAAACACTCCACAGGCATTATTTCCTTTAGTCCTCACAAAGAGCCTGAGACAAGAGTGCTCATTCTCCACACTGCACAAAGAGGAAACTGAGGCACAGAGAGGTGAGGTTACAGAACTGGTAACCAGCACCGCTGAGCACAGCACCGCGGAGCACAGGCCCCTGGTTGGTCCAACTCCCAGTCTCACCCTAGCAAAGATGAGGGAAGAAAGATTTTCCTCCTCATATGCCTCTTTAAAAACCCACTTCCCAACTCTCACAAAAGCCAATCCTCTTCTGCAAATGAGTTAAAGAACTACAAAAACACTACTTTCCTTAAATGCTGCAATTTATTTAGAATCAAACATTAATTAGGCTCTGATGAACCTTGCTGATTATTAACTCGCAGATTGTCCTTCCTTTGCTTTTATCACCACCAGGCCACTGTCATCCACCCTGCTGACTACCAGCTTTGAGGTACATTTTGAGATTTGCCAGTGCAACCTGGTTGAGGAACTGAGAGAAACTGAGACCCAGCCATATGTGGCTATTTGAATTCATTAAGTTGGGATCCCTGGGTAGCGCAGCGGTTTGGCGCCTGCCTTTGGCCCAGGGCGCGATCCTGGAGACCCGGGATCGAATCCCACATCAGGCTCCCGGTGCATGGAGCCTGCTTCTCCCTCTGCCTGTGTCTCTGCCTCTCTCTCTCTCTCTCTCTCTCTCTCTCTCTCTGTGACTATCGTAAATAAAAAAAAAAAAATTAAATGAATTCATTAAGTTTAACACAAATTTAACTTTTAACCACCCTAGACACATTTCAAGTACTCAGGCACCACATATGGTTAGTGGGGCTACTCCATCAGACAGTACAAATGGATTTCCACTTATCACAGGAAGGCCAATTGGACAGTGCTGCCTTAGACTTCGAGGGGTCTTTCTAGCTCAGGGTATTTCTTTCTTTCTTTCTTTCTTTTTTAATCACAACCCACAGTAGGAAGCCCTGTAAACCAGTTGACGTGTTTGTATATACACATTACGTGTATTTGTATGTGAAATAAAAGCTTCTCAAAAACAACACTTACCTTTAATAAACTACAATGTACTCTGATATTTCCTATCTTAGCCTTTCTTTCTTTCTCTTTTCTTTTTAGTAGGCTGCACACCCAGTGTGGAGCCCAAAATGGGGCTTGAACTCAAGACCTGAGCTGAGATCACTTAACTGACCAACCCATCCAGGCACCATATATATGTGTATATATACATGTACATATATATCTTTTAAAGTAATCTCTCCACCCAACATGGGGCTAGAACTCATGTCCATGGAATCAAGAGTTGCATGTTCCAACAAAAGAGCCAGCCAGGCACCCCTCTTTCTTTCATTTCTAAATTTCAAAGCCTGTTGGAGTCCACTGAACTAATTTGGTTGTGCCCCACAGTTGGAAAAACACTGCCCCAAAGCACACAATGAGCACTCAGAAGGATGAAACTAATGAATGTCTAAGTGCCTTGAGAATTCAATAAACCCTGGGCTTGTTTACACTCCCCATTTTACAAATCAAGAAACTGAGGCTCAGAGTTGGGAGGACATAACCCCTAGGACCAACATGGATTGGGGAAAAGAATCCAGGTTTTGGATCAAGAAGAATCCTTCTAGGTTTTGGAACAAGTGGCCCAAGTTTCTAGGATGTGGCAAAGTAATGGTTAAGGGCCAAAGTAGGACAATCCAGTTGGAGAATCTAATTCCTGACTGGGTTCTTAAACCTCTGTTCTTCCCCTATAAACTGGAGGTAATGATGATGCTTACCTCACAAGGTTGCTGTGAAACTTCAGTGAGATCATGTATTCAAATACTTAGCCTATAACTTTGGCTCGCAAGCCAATAAATATTTGCCATTATTATTCTAATTCCAACCCACCCTTTTACTAGCTGTGTAACCTTGAGCATGTTACCTAACCTCTCCAATCCTGCTTCCTCATCTACAGAAAGAAACCATTATCCCTGTGGCATTGACTTGTTAGGAAGAATATGATGAGCTTATGTATGTGCATGGCTTAGCAAGGTGTTTAGCAGAAGCAAGTGCCCAATATCATTCATTCTCTTCCTTCTTTCTGGATTTCAATTCTTTGTCTAAGGTGGCACAGCAAATAGAAGAAAAAGGGGGCTACTGGTGCAGACGTCTAAGTTCCAGTCCCAGCTGTGCCTGGGTGAGACTGTAGCCAAGTATTCGCCCTCTCTGAGCCTCACTTTTCTTCTCTGTGAAGAGTATCTGATAAAACACAGGTAAAGTCCCTGATACCCTGTGGGAGCTTAAGAAATGGGAGTTGCCAAGCGCCTGGGTGGCTCAGTCAGCTAAGTGACTGCCTTCAGCTCAGGTTATGATCCCAGCGTCCTGAGATCAAGCCCTGAGTTGGGCTTCCTGCTCAGTGGGGAGTCTTCTCTCTCTCTCTCCCTCTGCTCCTCCCCCCACTCATTCTCTCTCTCATAAATTAAGTCTTTAAAAAGAGGGAAAGAAAGAAATGGGAGCTGCTTTGATTTTGGCCCTGGGACCCAAGGGAGTTGGCAGAGGCAGAGCTGAGCCTCCTGGGGCCTTGGAGAAGGGGAGGGGGCCCGGACCTTCTGCACATGGTTGATCTCATCATGCTTGCGCTTTTGGTTGCGAGTGATCTTGCGCTCAGGCTGCTCAGCCAGCTCACTCAGGTACTTCTCCGAGTTCTTCTGCACGGCATCTTTTACTGTCTTGGTCAGCGCCAGCCGGTTCTTGTCTACCCATTCGTCCAGTCGCCGGTTAACTGTGAGGATGGGCCATGAGGGGGGTGCCCTTTCACCTCCCACCCCCCACCCCCCACCCAGGCCCGGATACCCGCAAGTCACTCACAGCCCACGTAGTGTACATAGAATTCCTCTCGGCCTTCCTGATCATTCACTCGAGACTGAATCACTTCAGCAGAATCTGTGAAAGAAAAAAAGGCTAGGATCATCAGGAAGGCAGGCAGGACTGGAACAAAAAGGATCCCTGACATGGAAGAGCGGTTTCCAGATTCCAGGGCCACATATAAGTGAACATCACATGGCTTCATCTGCCATTTCATCAATCGCTGCCTGCAAAGTGGGCCAAGTTGGAGCTGTTATTCTTACTTTGCAGACGAAAATCAGAGGCTTACCCACATTCACATATTTGGAAAGGAATAAGAAGCTGATATTTAACTGAGTTTAAGTCTGGCTCCAAATTCAATGCTTGTTTTATACTCATCTATTCATTTGTTCAGGAGTCATGAGGGCTGGCTCTGGGTTTATACATTATCCTAGCTCCTCACTTCTTTTATTTAACTGCAAAGTATTCTGGTTGAGCCTCGGTTTCTTTGCCTACAAAACAGAGATAATAGTGCTACCTCGGAGGGTGAGTTAATGACTCTAAAGCTTTAAGTTTTTAGCATGGTGCCTGACAAGCAGCAGCCCATTCACCAGATGAGTAAGGCACCCACTGTGTGTCCGGCCCTATGCTCGTTATTGCTGGGCAGAGAGGGCACAGCAGTGAATCACAAGGGTTCCTGCCCTCCCAAGTTCGCACTTTGATAGAAGACGCAGACAGACAATGACATCATGTCATATACACTGTGGCTGACTGAGGTATGAAGAAAATGTTGCAGGCACATACAGAAAGGAACGACTCATTCTGCCTGGAGGGAGCCCATAATGACATCACAGGAGCTATGGTATGTTAAAAGGAGGAGTAGGAGCTGGCCGGCCGGGGCGGGGCGGGGCGAGGCGAGGCGGGAGAAAGGGGGACAGGGGCATTCAAAGCAGCGGGCACCGGCGTATAAGGCATATGGTCTTCAGGGGGCACCATGTGGTCTGGTCTGGCAATGGCCTTTGCGGGGTATGGGGGGGCGGGCAGAAACCAGAGAGGTCGCAAAGAGGCACGCCATTCTAAGGAATTTGCGGCTTATGTTGAACGGGAGGGAAGGGAAAGGGAAGCTCGTTTCTGTGTTTCCGGAGGGCCTTCCCGCTGGCGGTTGCAGTAGAGGGCTGGAAGAGGAAGTCGCAGACACGACAGACACCAGCAAGAAACCACGGTTTTGTTTGCAAAGGCAGGGGAGCCTCCGGCTGGACAAGCAAGTGGGTTGGGAGCTCTACACAGCACTAAAGGAACTTGGTTGCTGTCCTCACTCGGAGGTGGTGTCCCCGAGAGGCCGAAACTCTGCGTTCTACCCTCAAGCCCCGCCCTCATGACGCCCAGCCCCTCGGAGAACCCGCCCTTAGACCCCGCCCCCCTCAGGTCCCACCCCCTGGCCGTGGGCCCCGCCCTCACGCCAGGTGCTGTCCGGGCGTCGGCACAGGTACGTTTCTCCGATCTCCACGGTGACTTCCGGCTCGCCGCGCGCCGGGGTCGGAGGAGAGACTCGGCCCGGGGACGGGGCGGTCCCCTCGACCGCCACATTCTCCCCGGGCCCGGGATCGCCCTCCCCCGCGACCCCTGAAGTCGCCGCCGCAACCGCCGCAGCTGCTCCCTGTGCCGCCATAGCTGTACTGCAGGTGACGCCAGAATCCCGCGCCGCGCAGGTCTTTTAGTTCCGGGTCAGGGACGCGTGGCAGAGACCGCTGCCGGCTCGAGGGCGAGGTCTGTGACGTGGCAGGAGCTCATTGGTCGGTGCGGCCTTCCAGCGGCCCCGGGACGAGTTTGACCTTTCTGTGCGAATTGCCCTGGAATTTTTTTTTTAATTCTCTTTCCGTACGGAAATAAGGTTGAACCCTGCGTGGAAAGAGGAGAAAGACTTTCCTGATGTGATGACTCAGCTCGATCTTCTTAAAGGGCCTGGTGCCTGAGGAAGCCAAGATATGTCAGTTACCCGAGGCTCTGCCCCCGCTTTACCGGCACCGGGATGGGCCAGAGCGGCCTCCCTGGCGGCCGGGCCTTAGGGCCTTGAGCCTGCGCTTAACACGCACCTCTGCGCCGCTCATTCCGCCATCCTAGGCCAGATCACCCCTTTTATAAAGATTGAAGAAATTGCCTTGCTTGTTCAAGGTGAGGGAAACAGGACGGCTGTGTTTTGGGATCGCCAGTAAATTGCTCTCCTAGAATAAAACCTTCCTAAGGAAACCAGCCCCCCCCCCCCCGCAAACGTCCCCTAAACAAACTAGTCAAAGGCAGTGGATGGACATACTAGAGAGCGTCTTGGGCTTAGTGACTGAGGAATCCCGCATACGGACCCTGCTTTGGGTAAATTGTACAAGGGCGTCCGTTCTCAGCGTGGTAAAGGTTAAACTATAGTAACTATATGATCCATATAACTATATAAAGGGCAAGCCATATATTTACCTATCTCGTGTGTATATACGACAAGCGTGTTGCACAGTGCCAAAAAGGGTTGGCGCTTAATAAACATTCTTTTTGGCCATTCTCTGAATCTTCTTTTGACTTATAGATTGGTTATTGGAGGGACGCCTGGGTGGCTCAGTAGTTGAGCATCTGCCTAGAGCTCAGGTTGTGATCCCCCACTGGGCTCCCCGCAGGAAGCCTGCTTCTCCCTCTGCATAGGTCTATGTCTCTCTCTGTGTCTCTCATGAATAAAAATCTTAAAAAAACAAACAACAACAAAAAATGGTTACTGGGATTAAAAGCAATTCTAAGGAGGTGGAATGCTCAAAGCCTAAGGATGGGGTCCAGGCTCCAGATCAAGAAATAAAGGAGTGGGATCCCTGGGTGGCTCAGCGGTTTAGCGCCTGCCTTTGGCCCAGGGTGTGGTCCTGGAGACCCAGGATTGAGTCCCACGTCAGGCTCCCGGCATGGAGCCTGCTTCTCCCTCCTCTGTGTCTCTGCCTCTCTCTATGTCTATCATAAATAAATCTTTTTTAAAAAAAAAGGAAAAAGAGGAGTTTGTTGGGGTGGGGGATGAGGTGATGGCAGTGCGAAGTGCTGGTAATTTGGCTTTGGGGGAAATTAGAAAGAATTGGAGGTGGGCAGTGAATGCCAAGTGTCTGGCTGGATAAGAATTGGAAGAAGTCAGGCAAGAAAGAATTAAAATTGTAATCCTTGGGGCGCCTGGGTAGCACAGTCGGTTAAGCACTGGACTCGGTTTTAGCTCAGGTCATGATCTCAGGGTTGTGAGATGGAGCCCTGCACAGGGCTATGTTCAGCATAGTGTCTGCCTAAGACAGTCTCTCCCTCTCCCTCTCCCCACCCTCTAAAATAAATAATTAAATCATTTTAAAAAAGAATTGTAATGCTTTCTCTCACTCCTTATCCCATCCCCTATCTTCAAGACTGTTATTTCCTCCACCCAGGGTTCTGGTGCCTCACTTTTGACTTCACCCAACATCTTGTTACAGGGAGGCTGTCCTTGCTAGTTGAGGATTAGCCTAGGCTTCATAAATCCCTGATCCAGGTTACTACACCAACCTCCTCACAGTTCTCCCTCTAATCCTCCTTCTAATGTGCAAATCTCCCTGTTCCTTCTAGAGCTGTGTAGATGCTTTACCCAGACCCTCTGAAATCTTTTTGTTGCTTCTTCAGATCTACATTACCTTTGATGTGCTTTCAAAAGCCAGATGCTTTTTGTCAAACTATCCTTTGGGCTAATAGAGCTGTTTTGCCCCCCCCCCAAAATTGAAAAGGGGGTAGGGGTGCCTGGGTGGCTCAGTTGTCTAAATGTCCATCCATTCCCGATTTTGCCTCAGGTCATGATCTCAGGGATGTGAGACTGAGCCCTGTGTTGGGCTCTGCTCAGAGCACAGCGCAGAGTCTGCTTAGGATTCTTTCTCTCCTTCTCCCTCTCCCCCTCCTCCTCTCTCTCAAATAAATAAAATCATTAAATAATAATATTTAAAAAGGCTGCAAAGGGAAGTTTTCAGTTTGGAAGCTTAAGTACCTACCCACCCCTGCTTCCCAACACAGACATTAACAAACCATTGTCAAGCAGAGTTCATCCATGACTGTGGAACATAGCTCTCTTGCCTCCAACTCTAAGGCAGAACTTACTAGCAAACTCTGAACTTTTGCCTGAGATGACATCCTTGTTTAGCCTCCTGCCCTTCCCTTTCCTGCTTCCCCCTACTTCCTAACTGGAGCCTTTTTTCAACAAATCACATAGACATAAACCTCCTTTCAGTGTCTGCTTCTAGGAAATCCAACTGTAAACATCCCTTCCTAGCTGAAAATCTGTCCATGGATTCCTGCTGCCTACGGGTTAAATCCCATGCTTCCTGGCTGTACTCCAGCCTTACCCCCTGGGCTGCAGCCAGCAGGATTTTCATCCTGGTCACTGTGGTTTCCGCCACGTGGCATCTGACCTCCAGATACAATTCCTGTCTCTCCTCAATCCGCCACCTCATCACCAGTCCCACCAAGCAGAATTTCAGGCCTTTCTTCCCCTCCCTTGGGTCCCCACCTGCTGTCTGGAGCCCTTTCCTTCTGCCCTCCCTACCAGGGCCCCACTGTCCCCCAGGGCCTGCCAGGGTATAATCTTATGTGTTCCTTTTCCTTGGCAGAAGCAAGCACAGCTGGCAGGCAGTATTTTTAATCTTACTCAAGCTCAGGAATCAGGTGGCTCAGGAGATTGCCCAGTCTGGTAACCTTCACCTCCAGAACCTGTGACTGCCAGGAAGGGAGGGTCAGAACTGAGGCCTGGAAGCTGTGCCAACTTGGGCTGTTGATACTGCCTGGGACCCAGAAACATTTGTTAAATGAAGAGATTTGGAGGCAATTCTATACCTGGCCTACCAGACTGTCTGGACAGTTGGAGACTGGGACATAAGCTACTTAAACCCAAGGGCCCACGGAACCAAAACAGGGTGGAAACAAAAGCTCACCTGCCCTCCCCACACATGGGGCCCAAAAGGGCATTCAAAATGTGAACTTTAATAACAAACAGCAGGTCAAGGTGGGGTTCCCCAGGAACAAGAATAACGGAGCTGGTGCTGGAGGCCTCAGGGGCCCCCACTTCCTCTCCTCCAAGGCCTGGAGGCAGGGAAGCAGGGGACCTCTGTAGAGGAGGGGTGGCACCGGGCTCCATGTAATTCCATCTATTTGGGGCCCTAAGACCCAAGATGCAGCAGCATGTGGAGCAGGGTGGCATCCTGCCTTGCCCAGAAGGTCCTGGCAGGGTGTGGAGCCCAGGCTAGACAGGCAAGTGGGCCAAGGGCTATGGGGTCAGATGCGGAAGCTTTCCTCTCGACCATCGATGTGACGGAGCCTCAAGTAGACATCTGTGCCAATGCCCTGCAAGGATTGCAGGTGGAGAGAACCGCCGAGGTACTCTGCGTAGGCCCGTGAGGTGGGCAGCCCGAAGCCAAAGCTGGGATGGGCAGAGGAAGAGGAGAGAGGCTTCAGAGGCTTAAGCCTCCTGAGCATCCCCCCAGCCCTCCACCCTGGCCAGGTGGGGCCTCACCCATGCATGGGCCCCGACTGGCCGCCACTGTGCATGTCCAGGTGGCCAAAAAGGGGGCTGATCCGGGGGTCCTGAGTGCTGGCCTCAGCTGTAGTGAAGTGGTAGTCCATAACCCGATCCAGGTCTTTGTGAGCAATTCCCCCGCCTCGGTCTGAAATCCTGGCAAGTTGTTAATAACATGGGCTTGGCTCAGCTACGGTGGGGGGGCCTCACTACTTCCCAAATAGTGCTAGGTCTGCCTTCCCGCCCCTTCCACCCAAAGATGGAATGTGATCTACCTAGACCCTTGGGCCTTGTTTTTTTATAAGTAACATCCTTCCATCCTCACTTTTCTACCTGGGCCACTCACTGGCTGCTTTTACATTCTCATGGGATTTTACACTTATTGTCAACTCAACATTGTGGACTAGTTACCCTAACTCCCCACTCCAGGTCCCTCGGTTGCTGACAAGGATAGCGCTCTGGGACCTGCAGCTGGCCCCAGATCCACTCACATCCAGCTCATGGCATTCTTAGAACCACCAGGGACCAAGTCTCAGAGTAGGGCAGGTACTGGCTCAAGGTCATGCAGGAAGTCAGAGACAGTGCCTGGAACTCCCACGTATCCCAGCCTAACTCCCACTCAGGGCAAACCTGATGACGAGATCGATATCATTGTTGGCTATGGTGATGACCACATCTGGAACATTGTAGGGAGTGTCTAGGTGACTCTCCATCGTGGCTCTATGCAGGAGGAAAGACCAGTAGGTGGTGGTACCCCAGCCTCATCCCAGTTCCTGTCTGCCCCCTTCCAACATATTCAGCCAGCCCACCTCATAGCATTCTTGAGGAGTTCAGGCAGGATGTAGTCCAGTGGCATAGGAATGAAGGGGAAGCGGGCGGCCACATGTCCGTTGATGCGGACACGGGGGGCATTGCCATACTTGTGCTCACATAGGCGTCTGTGGATAGGAGCAAAGGTTCAAACCTAGACTAGTCTCAGATGAAGGTGATGCTGCCCCAACTATGCCCAGAGAAACTTGGCAATTTCTAGAGATATTTTTCCTTGCCACAACTGGGAGTTGCATTGAATAGAAGCCAGGGATTCTTCTAAAGACCCTAACAAGCACAGGGTAGCCCCTAAGAATGATCTGACCCAAAATGTTAAGAGTGCCACGTTGGAGAACCCCTGCCATAGGCAAGGGCTCAGGCCCAAGCCTTCCCAGCCAAAGATATCCACCCCCTTAGCTGTTCTCGCCTCACCTGGCAAAGTCCACCCACTTTTCAATAATCTTCTTTGGTGACAAGCGAGTGCAGATGATGCCAACAAAGTCGGGCTAGCAGGAGAAAGAAAGTTGGGATTAAGCAGCACCTCGACCCACACCTCAGCCACCAAATGCTTGTAATCTCTGGACCTCTGAAGCAGCCCAGGCCTCTCCCCAGGCCCTTGGTCCAGTCCTCAGTCCAAGGGGGACCCTGGGTCAGTCCCTTCTGCCCCACCTAGTAGATCTCAGATCCCAGCAGCCCACCTTGTCCTCATGCAGCGCCAGATGATGTGTGGCCAACATGCGGATCCCAAGCCTCGAAGTCAGTGTTTTGTCCAAGAAGAAGCGGACAAGCTTCTCATCCTGTGAAGAGTGGAGCCTCAGAAATGCCATGCCTTTCCCAAGTCCCCCCGTAGGCCTGGGTGCCCACTGTGCTGCCCCTGACCTGTATGTGCTTCCGGCTCTCACGTAGGCCCTCAGCTAAGAGGGTCACCACATCCTTGTGATCGTCCAGCAGCTGTCGCACCAGCTGGCAGTACTGGGCCTCGTCTGCCTGGTCCTTGATCTACAGGCCACAGAGTCATGAGCATGGACGTTCCAGTCCTGACCTCTCAGCCCCTCACCCTGCCCTGGCCCAGCCCTCACCGGAGGGAAGTCTGTCAGCTTCTGGAAGGCACGGATGTACAACTCGTGCTGCAAGAAAGAGGTGTGGGAATTCACAGGGATGCTGTGGGCACTGTATAGAGAACAGCCACCCACCAAGCTTACCCATAGAGA